TCAACTTTGAATTTTCTGAACGGATGAGGTAATGAAGCAAAAGGACCTTTACGCGGTATTTCACAGTTCGCATGATTTTGGACTTTGGTTGAAACAAATCCTGTCACCAAACAAAAAACTTTCCTTATTTACATAGTTTCGTACTTCACCTCATCACCGCAGTTTATCAAGTCACTGAACTTTTTCAATTGTTTTACCGCCGAAGCACTGTATAATGTATGGGACAGGAGAGAGGATTACGTCAAATAGTGCAAAGCTCGCGCCAATTTAAGGGGAGTTAGATGTACGAATAAACAGTGTGATTTCACGAGTAAGCTTGTTGTTAATGCGTTGTCACATCCTTCCGGGAGTTCCATTTGGCTTAAGGGCTCAGGATAATTCAGTGCTGATGTCCAGAAATTACTGGCCGTATTTTGAATCCAGTCTCGACATCTCGACTTGTCCTGTCCATGCTTGCGCTACACGGCGATTGCTCAGCACTTGTGCTTCCACCGGGCAACATGGGGGCTGCATACCAAAACGGTGTTGCCGCTGAAATATTGCTATTATTATTATGTTACTAATATTAAAACTGCTAATTTGCCACTTCGAATTTCGGCAGATAATTTTCAACTGTAGTTTTGTGATGGTCAGACAGGTGAACTCAAGTGAATACCGCTGCGCACATTGAAGCTTTTGAAAGCAGTTGGACAGTGCACCTGTAGAATGCACTTTGTTTGACCGATACAAGCACTGAAAAAATGGCGAGGCAGTGCCAACTCGTGTGGCCTTACAGGTTATTGGTCATCTGGTTGCCGATCTGGTAATCAAACCAAAAAGGTGGATTGCAAAGGTTTTAGTAAATGTTGACCTTCCGCGGTTATATTGCTCCCTATGCCGATGACGGTGAAACGGCTGTAAATCAACTCTCAGGCTGAGCACTCCTGTCACTTTTCATTTCTTTGGGTCCTTGGATAGGCCCGTCCAAAGTGGGCGACGCTCAAGCTAGGCGTTTTAGCAGAAAGGAACTTATATTGTGTACGGTTCCTCCAAAGAGATCATGGACGTTCGGTTATTTGTTCATTTGCAGAACTGAGTTGCAAGTGCAAACTATGTTCGACCTGAACACATCGAGAAAACTCTGAACTAATGTTTAATCCTGACCGATGGGTGTGAACAACACAAGGATAGGCCAGGTGAGCAGCAAGGGAATCACAAGCTTCGCTGGGGTTAAAATGGAATTCCACCTTACGGCGCACCCGAATGTCCAAAGACTTACCTAAAATTTCTGGTGACCAGTCAATACGTCACTTGGTGGTTCTTTTAACTACTGTTCTGCGATAATTTCCTCCGCTTGTGTCATATAATAACCAGCTAACATTTTTTGTGCTGGTTATCACGTGGAGAATGCAGTTTCCCAGTCGTTGCCGGCGGATAAAGACGAGTGAGCCTTTAGTCGAACGACAGCTGACTATTGGGTTTAATGGCCCAATGTCGACATATGTTATATCCTGAAAAGATCTACGCCGCAGAAACTAAGGTGTATAAACCTTCAGGCAGATCAGACAATTCCACTGAGTTGGTATTGTGGTGATCGATTTCTTTCTACTAATGTAACTCGTAGTACGCTGTTACTTACCAAAAAATGCCCGTGGTCATCTGGCTGTTGGAATCCGGAAGATGAGAACTCCGAGCCCCAGTTCTTACTCGACGGTATGGTGTAGCGAATCAGTGGATATGATGCATGCCGAGACTTCTGATGTGCTGAAGCTTTCAAAAATACTTATTTTGCCCGCTATTTAGTACGGGTGGAAGAATTTTCAAACCTGTGTTTTAAGAAGTCTGTGTCACTTTACTAGAGGAAAACCCCACTAGATCATCTGGTTGTCGTTCCTTATTTCGCCTACAGAACACAGAGTTAAAACTTGTGCCGTTAACTGCTGATCAGTAGTGCGATTAGCTCTCAGTTAGACAGGACACAGCACCAATTATCCTTCAGTCACAGAACTCAAATCACACAGTCACATATTTTGACAGGTTCCTCGAGTGACGACGTATCAAAAGAAAGTCATCTTATCAAACCATTCTTTCTCTGATATACTCATAGATTACTGATTTAACGGTCACACTACAAATGGGGCAGGCATGAGAGTTATATATTCTCTTCCTGTAAATTCGCTTCAAAAGGGAGATCTTTGCGGAATTTGTGGACTCGCTTTGTACCATTTGCTTGAACTTGAGCAACACTGGATGAATGTCCAGAACCGTACAGCATGACGCGTTAAGGTGAAGATGATTGTTTAAGTTTTGTAATGTAGTCGCATATGAGAGGTTTGCTTTCCCGTTCAACAGTCTGTAACTGGTCAGTTGGCATTTGGTAATAAATTACTCCGTAGGGAAGGCATTCATCCTTTTAATTGATGCCGTGACCAAGATAAGGATCAATATTACGTAGCCACAACCCTTTGAGAATGATGATGTTCAAACCTTCCTGGAAGCCTTTGAGGAGGTCGCGGAGGCCGCCGAACTGAAGACCGACCGGCGTAATGCGCGACGCTGAAGACCCTCCTAAGGGCCCGGACGGAGGCGGCACTGGATCAGGCCAGAAGAGGTTCTTGGATGATGGACTGGCCCTCCGCGAAGGAAGGGCTTGCAGCGGAGTTCGACAAGCCGGCCGACTGCCACGGTGACAAGGTATGGCACAATCAAGCTTGACGGTTATCCAAGCGCTGCCGTGAGGCTGGTTTGTGGATAAATGAAGCCAAGACACAGCTCCCGCGAAGGACGGTGACACCGAAGTGCCATAAAGTGGGTCACGGAGAAGTTAGCCCATTACCAAAAAATATTAGCAGTCCGACTGCAAGAGTAAAACATCACAATGCAGCACGTGCCAGAGAAAGAGAACAACTTGGAAGATTGGCTGTAAAGACCAGAGGCTGAAGCTCAGGTCTTCAGGATCATGATTGGAGCAAATGGCCTCGTCGTCGAACTAGATCCCCAAAGGTTATTTCAAATCCAACGGCACGAACCTGTTTTACGAATGATTGTAATTGCTTTGATAGATGGAAGGAGCATTGAGAACGTAGAGGGAGACAAGTAATCGGAAACGCTTCCGAGTCACTATGACTGGGTGAGTCCGAATAAAGCTGGCATAATAATTTACTGGAACGCCACCAATTCGAATGTTGTGCTACCCGTGAGACCTAGCGTTTGGAGACGGAAGCTAATCGTCGAATGCCATGGGATGGGATACACTTTGGCAGATTGCCCGCTGTCCCGCTTTGAGGAGTAAGGTGATGGATTATTTGGTTTCCTGTAAGCGATGTCAATTGATGGAAGGGGACACGACAGGGGCAATCCACCCCATGGAACCTCTTGCTGTGCCAGAAAGCGGTGAGTTGTGGTTCGTGGACTTCACGGATCCTTTTCCGGTGATACGCAGTGAGAATTAATACATCGTGCTAATGTCAGATACCTGTCGTAGTGGAACGAGGCGGCAGTCCTACCTAGTCGGCGGGCGACGACGATCAGCGGAGTGGCAATGCAACTCACCGTGGCCAACCATGGGGTGCCAAAATGATCCTAAGCAATCAGGGGCCTTGCCTCGATCGCGAGGAGATTAGGATTTGATTGTAGAAGCTGAGTATCACACGGCTGAGGACGGCACCATACAAACCTCGAACAAATGGCCAAACCGAACGTAATAACCGAACGATCAAGGAGTGGCTTGGGGCCAAACGAGGTAACTGGGTAGCAAATTGCCGATGATGTTGCTAGCTCCTCGTGCACCCATAAAGCCAACCACAGGCAAGTCCCCGTTTATGCTGATATACGGTCGAAATCCGCACCTTCATGTTGATCAAGAAATTGGCTTGTGGCCGCTAGCACGTTTGCGTCCGGAGCAGCTAGAGGAAGAAGGAAGGTGAGCTCGAGAAAACTTAACCATCCTTCTGGAAAGGACTATGCAAAAAACGGCAAGTAGAAAGGCACGAATATTCCCCATAGGCCCGAAAATCGAGTGAAATGATCATTAAAATCCTGGAAGGAGTGGACAGGGGTCGCGGCAGCTGGGCAGTGGATGGCGGGATCCGTTTGTCCTTACCGACCTCCTGGATAACTTCTTTACGATTCAAGTAGGTCGGGGATAAAAATAGTAAATGGGACGCAGATTCGTAAGCGGCATGCTACAACGATAAGGCGGCCGACTAGACCTGCTGCAGAAGCCGACCTGACGGAGATAAATGAAAATCGATGGCCTGCGAACGCGTCTTAAATGGCGGTTCTTAACGGTGATACAACTGATGGGGGAGACGTTTGAGTAGTATGCTCTTTTCTAGTAAGCTTGGTTGAAAAAGGAGATCTTTGCGGAATTTTTGGTCTCGCTTTGTACCATTTGTTTGAACTATAGCCACGTTCAATGAATATCCAGGAAAGTTCACTAAGACACGTTTGAGTGATGTTCAGTTCCTTTTAAAATGCATGAGAGCGATTTGCCTTCCTGTCCAATAGTCTGTAACTGGCCAGTTGGCATTTTTTAATAAACTACTCCGCAGGGAAGGCCTGCTTCTTGTCCCTGATTTTATGAAGATGTTGGGACCGTTCCAACTGGGATGCACGTTATCACTATGACGTTTCAGTACAAAAAGCCGTAATAATATCCCTATGGACCAAAGGTTTTTTTAAAGGTACTCATAAAGACAGCAGATATGTGAAAACAATGTTGTAGACTCAGGATTCTGCTCAGTACTGCTGAAGCACATGAGTGCTCAACAATTTACAGAAAACACCACAGCTCACCCTGTGCACATATTGTTGGAATAGATTTGCACAAATAATCAGTCATTGAACAAGCTGACCAAAATGGTCGATCACACCCTGATTAGCATAAACTTTGTACCGCAGAACTATAAGATTTGTGGTGGATACATTTTTTAACATTATTGCCATACATTTGTAAGGCAAAGTTCGATTCACAGCAGGCGCAGAGTATAAAATTTCGGGCACATGAAGCTTCAAGTAAGCCTGAATATGATAAATCGATGTTCGCTCCTTATTGCTTTTTTGTTCTGCATGCACCACGTCAGATGGTTGGAAGCCATCGGTGGCTACAATTGGTCATCCATATTTAACAATAATCCGTCAAAGAACTGGGTTGTCCTGGTCGCTGGTTCCAACACCTGGGAAAATTATCGACATCAAGTAGGTTTCCGTTGGGATTTCATTGGCTTGAGTCTGAAACGTTCATCTAAATCACGTAAGAAATGTTTTTCAAAGTAGAAATTTGCGAGAATGGTCGCCAACAGTTGTGTCCCACCTGGCTGTCTCCATGGCTGTGATATTACACTCGAAAAGGCGGCGGATAGAGGCTATAACTAATGGACACACTAATGAACTCACTAATGGACACAAATCTCGTGGCCTGTATTCGTTTTCGTCAGTAGTTATTTGTCGTAAAACGATATTATGTTTTGATTGGGGTCGATTCTAAGATCCTAATAAACTCAGATGATACTAAGGTGCACAGTGCGTTTCACATTAACAGAAATCTGATTTTCTTCGCCTATAATTTTTTATTGTGGCGTTATGTTACGAAAAATCACGCCCTGTGAGTGGAAGGTATGGTGTTGTATAAAACATGCATTCGGTGATTTTCCAGCCAACACGAATACTCTGACCTGACATTGTAGCCTCATTATATTAGAGCAAATATCACGGGCTCCGTAGCACCGTAGCCTAGAATGACCTGTTGTATGAACCAGGACTGTAAAAATTCAACGCAGAAAACTGACGTACCAACAACACTGGCTGTTACGGTGAAAGCACCGGAATGGCCAGGCAATCTGAGCGGATAAATCTATACTACTTGGTGAGATCAAGTAGCGTGTATTTGGAATAAACATATAGAAATCTATCTTGGTCAAATTCGTTCGTCCGCTCGTCTAGCATTTGCATGGAGTTAGATGAGAATAGTATCGAAAATGTCATACATAATTAGTGCGTCTGTATCCATTTTTTCATTGCCACATGATTTTCGCCGCAATGTGAGTATTTATCTGGAACACAAGCGAACGACAGATTTGAACGTATTTTCGAAGTCAAGGGATACCAAATCGTACAGATTCGGTGAGCAGGTCGTTGTTAGGACACCACTGATTTTAGAACTTTGGTTCACAAAAGCCCTTACAGAGGAGAAACATGCTTCCCGTTTTTGGGATAATACATCCAAATGGTTTTGTGGTAACTGGTACTCCACCAAGTATGGATTATCCCTCACCCACTGGATGCCTTCTTTTGCCTCCATTCCTCACACTGCCTGTTATTTATATTTACGTGTCATTTGTGTTCTCATTCAGGCGGATGTTTATCGCGCGTATCAACTTGTGCGTAGAAACAATGTTCCAGCGCAGAATATAATCACTTTCGCCTACGACGATATTGCAAACAATCCCAAGTAAATATCGCGTACAATTTTCGCTATCTGCTAACAATTAGAGTGTAGCAACGTGCTTTGTTGTTCAGCTGTACCACGACCCATTGTTCTTCCGTATTTCTCATGTATCTAATTGTTGAATTTGAGTTGCAGGCAATTATGGGGTTTTATATGTCACTACAGATGTTTTGTCAGATTTTCTGTTGGTTGATGCCTCTTCGTGACTGTAGATGCCAATGAACCCTGATGCAAGTAGCACCCTCGTAGCCTAAAGTGAAACAAATTTACATCTAGATGTCGTTTTAGTGCATCAGCCAGCAGATAATTTGGTGCAAATAGTAAGGAGGAAATCTAGTAAGCTAAAAATTTTGTAATGCATCCGGAGTATAGAATAGACCCCCTAAATGCATCATGGTACCTGGCTGGAGATGGTAATTATCGTAAGCCGTTTATTGCCCAATCATTCTTTCGGCTGTAGCATCATTAAGTTGCCTAGCTGCAAAACGGAGGTTGCACGTGGTCTGGATTACTGCCGTGTTTCTAAAGCCTAGACAGAAGAGGTTGGGAGTCAGAGGTAGGACTCGAACCACGGAACTTCCGGTCAGTAAATTCGCGCTTTATCCACTTAAACCATCTCGCTTCCTGTCCGCTCGAATAACATTCACGGCACTAAAAAGCATATGCACATAAAATCTACTACTGGTGGTGTTTGAATGTAAATTCACCCACCGAATTCACGCACCAAATTTGTGATTTTCTTTGTTCTGCACTCAACAGGGATCACTGTAGGATAAATTATTTCTGCGAAAAGCATTATTATGGGTGATAGAATGTACATTCATCGTCGTGAAAATGTATTCCAGAACAAGCCAGCAAACCCAATTCGAACTGAATTGTGAGCCTTTCCTTCCTTTCTATTCGACCTACATGTTAATTTCTCCCAGAAGTGCCATTGCCACTTTGCATTCTTTTATTCCAGAAATCCGTTTAAAGGCAGAGTGTTCCAAGACTACCAGCACAGAGATGTATACAATGGGGTGGTTATTGACTACCGTGGAAAGGTAAGTCCGTTTTCCGGTGCGCAGCAGACAAGTCTATTCCTACATCAGTTCACCGTGTAACACGAGGTGCAATCAAAATTACACCGTGGGTCAAAACACAATATAAACCGTAGGGCAGAGTAATAAGTTTTACCATATTACAGAATGGTCAACTAACTTGGACGAACACTAGCCACAAGGTCATAGAGAACTCCCAGGCAGACCACGACCGCGTTCAACCTTCTTCTTTGGCCATATCAAGAAGGCTAGCGTTCTCGTTAAAAGAACCCTGAAATGTGCACGAAGACCAACAGTGACCGAATAGTTTCTCCATGGAAGTATCCTGAGATACCCCGAGTGATGCACCATACATACCAATCAGCATATCTAGGACAGCACATTCAGCTAAAGAATATCATACATAAGAGATGTTCAACTGTGATTCAGTTGAGTGCGGATGAGTGATACTAACTTCAATATAGCGGTTGTTTCTCACGTATGTTGCATTCCTTATCTACTGAGGTCGATGAGGACCACTTGGTAGCGCTTCTAGGTAGTCCAGTTTCAACTCAACTACCAACCCTAGGTTTGGGGAATAAATCCAAAAGCCGTGCTAGGTAAACAGACCAGCAATCTAACTATTCAGTTTTCAGCACACAGCGATCATCGTGAATAAAACGTGACTGAAGATGAAGGGCGCATCTTAGATTTCAATTAATTCTTGGGGTGAAGGTGGATGGTCACTGGGAAGAGAGTGAGTGTAGGGAACACCATTGTCACTGGAATAATTGGTCATACATGTAAATCCGTTTTAGGAAGTCAACCGGGATTACTTCGTGAAGGTGTTAACAGGCGATAAGAAACTAGAAGCCAGCAATAAGAAAGTGCTGAAAAGGTGAGTTTGCGCGGAAGTGGATATTGTTGATGCACTTGCTGATCACAGCCAGATTACTAGTTTAGCAGGTCACCGTCTTCGGATTTACGCAAAGCGTGTTTAGTATTGTCGTAAGTAATTTGGTACATAATCTCTATGAGTAAGCCTCTCAAAAGTCAGTCAAAACGGTTTGTGTCATTTCAGGGGAGACCCGGTTTATCCATTTCTGACTATGGGTTATTATTGAAACATGAGCATCAATCGTCACAGTACAGAAGTTTCAAAAATATTCAGATATGCGCAGTTGTGAATGATCACATATCTCCTTGGTCTTGAACAACTTGAGATCGGTCGATCTTGGTTTTCTCGGATTCGGCATTGTTTTAACTCACGGTGTTGAAAAACGCAAACATACACTGTTGTTTGGATGATCGAAATCCAAGACCACTGGCGCCACTGTCGATTTATGGCTGTCTCTCAAATATGTTTCGAGATTCACCCATAATATTCTCAGCTTTTACAATACCTGTCTCGCCTATGTAGTTTGCTAACATCACAGTTATTCTTTCTAAATTCCTCTCACGCCTTCTTTGCCCGCACAAGACGAGATGGGAAGCGTTGGCATACAGAGACAAGCCAGGAAACGAGGCAAATGTTTATTCACCCGCAAACCAAAAGTCTATCAGCCGGTCAATTATACACAGTTTGGATTTCCATTTGCGATAAAATCCGTAATCATCCGCTCTTTGTGCGCGTTTCCTGATTAACCGGTTTTTTGTAGAGGGACCTGTGATGGATGTTTCCCTACTTATTCCCAGCTCTCGTGAACCGATCTTTTTCGTTTGCAGTTCGACAGAAACCCCCTTGTTATATGTTAATATGAACACTGATTGTTGGGTCTGCTTCAAGAGTTTCGTGTTAGTTGGCGGTCTGTTGTCATTCAGTTTCGCTTCCCGGATTTTAGTGCCTCGTGGTCTGTTCGGTCGCCGTTCCAAGGCGGTGGCCTGGCAGCTGTTCATAAAGGCTTAATTCTGAGGTTTCGCCAGTCCTCACAATAACTTGAAACGGGGAGTTCCTGCACTCACCCCTCTAGGCCACTCAGTTTGACAAACACGGATTTCTGAACTCACCTGCCAAGCGGTAATAGATCTGTAGCACTTTATTTGCTGTCGCCTACAGTATGAAGTATCCGCCGCTTGTCACGGACATTATATCCTGCAGCAAGCTAGTGTTCTGCGAAACCACATTTTCAGACAATATTTCGTTGGGCAAATTCAAAAGAGATATTTTTGTTACATGACATATTGCGAGTCTAATCGATTGTATCTTGAAATGTGCCTAATCTTGTAAAAACTTCATCTTANTCTAGGCCACTCAGTTTGACAAACACGGATTTCTGAACTCACCTGCCAAGCGGTAATAGATCTGTAGCACTTTATTTGCTGTCGCCTACAGTATGAAGTATCCGCCGCTTGTCACGGACATTATATCCTGCAGCAAGCTAGTGTTCTGCGAAAGGTTTCCAGACAGAAACTACTTATAGCAGCAATCGAATTCAGGGGATGCCAGCCACGACGAAGCACAGTTTGAAATGGAGCATTTTGACCTCGAGAAGTGTATGCTCCCTTCAGCCAGCTGGAGCCGCATAATATCAAACAGGTATGGAGCAACTTCCAACCCAACCATTCACTCATGATGCCACTCCGTTTGGTGATGGAACATTCGCAAGCTGATCACTAAGAGCAGAGAAAAATGAACACCATCTTGATCAACGACCAACAAACGGAAGATTTCCAGATCAGATTTAGATAAAAACATATGGCTTCTTACATGTCCGTGTCCAAAATGTAGGAACGCCTCACCTTGGTTATAATATTTGCTCCTCAGCAGTGTGTATCTCATATTGATATTTCATTAACCAGACGTAATCATGCTAACTAGAGCGTCTTTTCGAAACAGCTTAGTGCGACCGTTCCAACGACAAGAGGATAAGACCAGCTAAATTGGACCACTGTTTCCAACCATCTTCGTGCATTGAAAACCACTACAATAATCCAACAGAAGTCCAAAAAATCGAATGTTCGTCCTCGTATTCACGTGGCCATGCAAGTAGCAGACTAGCGGAATTTAACTCAGCTACTGATTATATCCAGCAGCGTGTACAGAACATTATTCTAAACTACATGTTCGCCATGCTTCCATTTCCGCGGTTTTTTGTTGTGCTTTCCTATCTGTGGGGGCGCCAGGCAATAAGCTACTTTTCAAGACCACCTTAACCTTTGTGCCCACTAACAGCGGTCCTAATGACAACGTGTTCATCTTCTTCTCTGGCCATGGTTCCACTTCCCTTATTGCCTTCCAAGATGAAGTAGTAAGTTAAGTTAATTTTGCTGACCACGTTTTTAGCACGCAGTTTGTTTTTTAATTCGAAGCCAAATAGTGAACGGATTGAAACGCTAACGTAAACATGTTGTTGCAATGACATCGATAATTCTTTATAAGAAGGAGTTCATAGTCAAGCCGTTCTACACATCAACGGAAAAATGGAACACAAGCTACGACGTACTTTCGTCATTCTCAAGAGTGACATCCCCAGGATTTCAAGTTTTATAGGTCTCGTCAAGTTGCTTTAAATGACACCGCCAGATAGATTTTTTTACGAAGTTTAAGGTCGTTCAACTCAAATGATTTTGCGGTTGACTCATTCAGACTGATGAGCAAGTGTACATACCATAAACAAGGAAACTGATCGTATACAGTCGCTCATGAGGCGTAGATGCTACGAAGAAATGAACGCGTGAATTTTTCCTGACAAGACAACATACTGCTTTTTGCTTCAACAGAGAGAGCACGAATCTTTAATATATAAAGTTTTTGTATTTATGTATGATAAACCACTCTGTGATGAAAAGGTACAACTGTTACATCCTTATTGGGAATCATCAGTGGTGCGCTTGATAAATGCAACGCGCAACCGTTCGGCCACGAGCGACCAACCAACAGCCTGATTTACCTGCATTAATTCAGGACACAACATCACCCATTCTTCAACCAAGGGATCCACATCCCCGATGACTGACTCATCGGGTGACTCATCTCGAGCTCACGAGAATTTTTCTTTTTGTCTTGCGACAGCTGCATGCCATGGAGTTGAACGATACCCTCGCCTACATGCATTCAAAAAAAATGTTCAACAAATTGGTGCTGTACGTGGAGGCTTGCTACTCTGGCTCTATGTTTAAAGATGTTCTTTCTTCAAATATGGGAAGTAAGTAGCGTGAATTTCTGGCTGACTCTTGCATGGATCCTGTGAAATAGCATTCAAAATGTCAATCACATATGGTTTAAAAGCGGCGTTGACCAGGATAACAGAACGAAGCGTGGGAAACAAGCATGGTTGCAAACTTGGTTTATTATTGTTCACTTGGCAATTTTTATGGAAGTAGCACATGACTACGCAAGAAGCGCTTAGCCGATGATAGCACATACATATTTGATTTCGAGAGTGTTTGGCAAGCTCCGCCCGGTCTGGGTTCAAGTCTTTATGAAGTTGTAGAGTTGATCAAGGACAACGCCTACCTGATTCCTCGTAAGGCGCATGGAAATCATGATTTCCTGTCAAGGGAATCTCAGGGACCTTCTAATCGTCTTGCAGCTTCGTTATTTCTGTGAGTCACAAGTTTCGTTCGTCGAAAATTTACCTCACTATTCCACACATCTTTGATATTGACCTATACTATCTGTTGTCTGAACCCCAAAACCTGCAGTCTACGTGACAACTTCAGCCAAGGAAGATGAAGAATCCTCGGCTATCTATTGTCAAGACAAGGACATCGATGTTTGTCTAGCGGACGAATACTCGTATGCCTGGCTTTTAGATTCGGAATACGTAAGTTTACACAGAGCTGTTGCAGATAAGCCTGTCAGTTGTGGATGGGTAGCCCAGTGGTATTCAACAGCCAGTGGTAGTTTAGTGGATTCTCAAAACCTTTATTATTTGTTTTCAAGCATGAAGAGGATTTATGGCAAGTAAGCCATTCTAACCCTAGCCGTCCATTGGCCCCAAACTAATCAAACCATTGGTCGTATGTCCGAAATTTCTCACTATCCTCCCAACCAGATTTGTCTCTGATCTTGCAAAGTGATATGAAAGAGACTAGCAAAAGTCTGGGTGCTTTCAGTGTAATTCGCGCTCTACGATGGAGGACGCCTTTTACGGCTGCAAATTATTTGGAATGCTCGCACGGCAGTGAATCATCACTATTTTCGTCTGTTGTTGATCTCAATGAGGTTGATGATGATGGTGATCAGAACTATAGAGAATCAAATTCTCACGCTGTGTTGTATGTGCATGTATGGTGTCCAGGAACAGCAGAGTGCTCACTAATTTACCAGCAGTATGTGTCGTTGCATACCCCAGTTGTCTTAACTCTAGTGACAGTTTCAATGTTTTGCCTAGAGCGGATTCGCCTTAAAATTGTGTAAGCTGATCTGTCTGCTTTACGTAGCTCCCCTTCGTCATTATCTCCCACTCGCACGCAGGAAGACATAAAAACGCGTACACTGGAGGAACAATACGAGGAGGTGAAAAGGTTAACAGTGAAGAGTCACGTGATGGAATACGGTGAAATGGTGAGTAATAAAAAACCACGGAGAGATTCAGTTGGGGCACTTGTAGAAAGTTAAACTGTAATGAAAATGACTGTATTTATCGAGATGACAGTTGGTTACCTGTAATGAGTGACGTCAATGTTGAAAATACTTAATTGGGAACTTCAGGATCCATAGACGATTTTCAGCAAGGTTGCAAGTCTAGGCATCTAGGTATCCAAGTCTAGCCAGTGTCACTTCGGATAACCAAGCAATGGCTTTGGGTACCTTATGATTCATACGTTTGTGTGCTACGGAACGAATAGAGGTCGAAATTTTTGAATCGTTTACAAGTAACACAGAGTAAGAATAAATTTACACGATGACTGAAGCTTCCGTCTGAACAGTTGACACTGGAGGAGCTGGTCAATTTGTGGCCACGTGATGTGGTTTTCTGTAATGATGCAATGAGTGCTTTGGACCTGAACGAGCAAACTTAGGTGATAACGCTCGTAATTCGGTGGACATGAGTGCTATACACTGATGTTTGTGAGACGGTTTCGGAAATAAGTTTCATTGATCACCCGGATTTTTCAACACTAACACGTCAGTATTAGGGTGTAAATTTGCGGTCGCATGGTGAGCCGCTTATTCATTGCATGTAACAAGGCGCTATCCTGGTTGATAACGAACTGATAGGTGTCTGTTTATTGTTGATTTCAGGCGATGGGAATTCTCCCAGTTGGAAAATTTCAAGGTCATTATAATCTGCTGGTGCACAGGAATGATGGGGCCATAGCAGTAAGTGTACAGCGCAATATTCGATATCTTGAATTGTCCACTGGATCACTTACTGCATCCGCCACTGAACGTTTAAGGAACCAAATGACCACTTCACATTCTAATGACAGTCTGATATGTCGTAACTTCAGTGTCAGAAACACCTATCAACCTAGTTAATATCGACGTAAGCTGCAATTTAAGAGCTGACCGAATAATCTAACTAAAAATATATTTTCATGGAAGCAAAAGTTAAACCGACAAACCTCGCCATGTGGTGTCCTACAAATCTCAAGAAAGATATATAGGAAGATAAATAGTTAGATAGATAGATAGATAGACAGATAGATAGATAGATAGATAGACAGATAGGTAGATAAACGGATAGATAGTTAAAAAATCATTGAGACAGTCCAACTGACAAACTGACTGACGGATAGCCAGATGTATAGATAAACAGGCATTTAGATAAATATCGGCCAGTCTACATAAAAGCAGCGGAGCGACCGAGTTGTAAATCAAACAAGTTGAGCGTCTGTTGAGTACCTGTAGCGTGGTCAGCGATAATCAAGCTGATGTCGAGAAAATATCAGTCCAACTGACAAGCGTTTCACCGATTGCAATTATTCGTCGACTCCATGTTACATCCTCCGACGGAACATGCTGTTTGCCACTGACCATGAAAAGAGCACAGAAATAATTACCAGCAAATTCAAGGTGCTACATGAGAGTTAAGACCCCGTTTCAGACATTCACCGAAATCCGTGAAAAGTTTAGTGATGTTCTACGTACTCAAAACTGAGGTACAGAGGAATGAATTTCGTCAGTAAATTGCGATACCCTGGCGACCGAGTGCTTTTATGTAGTTTCTTCTTAATAGTGACTAGTACGGGAATACAACACTTTCAATCCGCACTGACAGAGCTCCTGTTAACAATGTGTGGCTCAATTGTTTTCTTGGTTCCAGCCGAACGCTGTAGATAAAAAACCCTCTTGCCAGGCTAATTTGTTTTCAAAATCTCGACGCTTGATGGAGGCCGCAAACGAAGAAGAACATGAAATCGCTTGGCAAAGGCTGCAATCTGCACTTCAGGTTTGTATTTTTATTTTTCGTATCCAGTTGATCTCAACAATGGAACTGAGTGGACGATAAAAGATCGTCTTAGGTGAGAGTGGGGGGACAGGTTTTGAGGATGCATGGGAGCAGGCAAACTTCATCAGTGGAACATTTTAACGGCCGTTTTTGAAGCCAACCAAAAATTCAACGTAATTCGTTTAGGTGTGCGACAAAGCTTTTATAGTCTATCTACAATCTCCCACAACTAATCTTCTCGCTTCTTTCAGGTTAACCATATCGTCAAGGAAACGTTTCGTGACATCGTCGTGGCGGTGACAACCGACCATAAGCCAACGCTAACGGGCTTGTCCAAGAGAGATGAGCTAATGTGTTTCCAGGCAGTTTTCGATCAATTCCGGACGCACTGCTTCACAATTCGGCAGGCAAGTTGACTTCTTGATGCACGGGAACAAGGGTGTGCAAAAATATGCATACATAATTAGCCAAAGCATTCACACACGGCGTCATTTTCAGGTCGAAATTAGGTGTTCATTAGTTCAACATCTTGTAAGCTATTATTCATCATAACCCGTTGTCACTAAGGCGACTGATGGTAGGTGGAATGTGATGTAGATAAGTAGGAATTTTCAAAATCCAAAGTGATATGGAGTAAGCATATATACATATATATATACATATATACCAAGATTGACAGCAGCTGGATGAAGCTGCCTGACCTCAATTCAATTCAGTTCAATTAATTTCATTTCACTTCAGTTCAATTCAGTTCATTTCAGTTCATCTCAGTTCATTTCAGTTCAGTTCAGTTCATTTCCTTTCCCCCGAACCCATTGTGAACTGAGTATTAACCGGCATAACACAACCACCAGGAAAAGTTGACAGATTGATGTGAAGTGACACAGGACAGTAGTGAAGTGGGTTTCCTTTTTTATGAAGGGTCCTTGCGTTCAACACTGTTAAGGAATCTGTGAAGCATGATCGGGCCTGCAAATCTTGCTGGAATCGTTAGGTTTGTTATTCAAAACCGCACAATTTGTGGAACATTTTCTGAACAAATCGATGTCCAACTGACAAAAAGCTGGAGGAAGTTGTGCGGTAAAACTGTAGAATGACAAGCCCAAGATGATACCCATGACTATGGAATTCCGGTCAGTTTTTACGAATACCTGCATCTTACTTTGAGTGTGTATTATGGTTTCAATATTTTGAAAACCACTTTCAATCTCTGTTGAGTTAACGTATAGGGTGGTATACAGCACTCATTTTGATCAACGAGACCAGCCCTTTTTTTACAAAACTCGTTCGATTCTACCTGCAAGTGCTCTGGTTGAAAGGCGACAGACGCCCAGCTATTGCGCTATGTGAATCACTAGGGTCCGATCCTCTGGACTACCGGTACTGTGCTCTTCTACACTGTTCCCTTAGAGGAGAAATTCTGCAAGTAATTTCACTATTTAGAATTGATCAAGGACAAACACGCAAAAACACTTCATCAGTGTCACTTCTGTCCGAAAAGCATACCATACCATTGTTGATTCCTAGAATCGTGCAATATTTTTGGAACCCACAAAACCAATTTGTACAGAGGAAGTCCGATAAAAAGCACAGGCCTGCTACTGTTTCATCCGTTTTCATACGATTTGATCTAATGGCGGAAGATTTTTAACCGAAAATAACCCAGACACTTCATTGTACGGATGACTAGCTTATATAAATTCGGTGGATTATCAACAAACCATGTTGCCTGACTGAATTGAAAATTCCCTAAACAGTCTCGAGCGGTTTCTCTTCCCCCACATTCACGATCGGCGGCTGTTGCAACCAGAATTCTATCTTATCGTGGACGTTCGTTAACATTTCAAGCACCTCAAAATTGGCACAGCGGGATTGGTTACATAAACTGGATTAAGATTATGGTTGCTCAAAAATGTTTAGACAGCTGACGACTAGTTTCGCCTTTCTTGGGGCCCAAAAAGTATACTCGCTTCCTGAGATCACATCAGACTTGTGTTGTAGATGATCATTCAATTGAAGCTAACCATCTTTAGCATTTCACTTGTGTCCCCCGTCGAAACCAAATTCGTTTACAAGCAGGGATATTTGTCGAAATCTGCCGGGTTCAAGCAGAACATACAACCGACCGAAACTCGGGACTGCTTTCACCTGATGAGCCGCAAGACTGGTGAAACCGGTCTTAGCTTTACAACGTATGTTGTTTCGTAGAGTTCACACTCACTCTCTCATTTGCTACGTAGCTGAAAAATGTCGCTTAATCTTTGATAGCATCGTGCGAATTTATATCAAAACGCTTTGAAATGTCCAGAATTCCGATATACCGAAGTTCTCGCAAACCCCTCGCATAAATGCCAATTTTATTCGCGGACCGAATATTCACTATGCATCCAGTGTGCCTCACTGACCAGCTTCCCCACTTTTTAGCATAATGGCTAGTTTTTCACGAGAATGCTGAAGCCTGTTGTTAGTCGTTAGAAGAATCTTGTGTGAACACACCTTCCTGTTCGTTTTAAAGCGTTCTCAGTCATTAGTGCAAATCGGTGCTCAAAATGTCGGATCGTAAGTGTTTCTTATGCGCGGCGAACCATTCGCTTCCATGGTTAAATTTACATCCTAACTGAGATCCTGTTATCTATCTGTCTTAAGGTCCCTGAGGTAGCCCAGTATACAACTTTTTTAATGGAGTTGTGCAAAGCCGGATACGAGGCTGAGACCCTCATCGACTCCGTCCACAGCGTCTGTTCCTAGCGGATACGCACTGTGTTTTGTGGGTTTGTCAAAATAAAATGAATTGCAACTGTTCCGTATCGTGTTTTGTCATCGTCACGAAGCGTGGGTTGTGATTTTCCATCAAGCTAGACGTCAAAAGATCGTTCGGTATACAACAAAAACATTTAGACAAAACCGTCGGCATCCTCAGAACTTGTGGACCCATCAAGGCGCCTCCACATATCTGACGTACCAATGCAGGATGGGTGCACGGGACGAGCACAAATAAGCCAGCCGCCCGACACAGTTAGAACAGTTTTGTGTCGTCCGTCGACTCAAACACACTGCTCATATTTCAATGTTTCTCGAGATCACTCTAGCCGTGATAGAGACCCATCATCAAACTCAGCCCCATCGACTCTGAATATGTTCTCATACAGCACTTTTAAACTTCATCTTATATTTAGATGAGGTCGATGAGAAGGCCTTAGTTTGTCTAGCATCCAGACTGGTGAGGAGTCTATTGGAATTCTCTGTTTTGGGCAATTGTTCACTTAGCAAATTTTCAACCCGATACTGTTGTATCAGATTCATCAACTGGTCGATTTTCATGCGTGTGGGACGGGAAGCGATCGACACCAAGGCAGATGTATCTAGATTAATAATTATCCAGGTACTCCAAGGAACAGATGTTGGATACACCAGATGCGCAGTAGCGAACATAATCAGCGCAATGTACACACCGATTACCCGGGGAGGAAGAATACCTGCTTATGAACTGACCGATAAAACGCCAGGCGACAAAACCGGCTAGTTGGTCACTCGGTTGATACACAACAAAAACCGTACGACTATTCTTGAAATGATCTGCTTCCCATAGGTTTGCTGAAAAACATTCAGCAAATAACTGCAGGTCTCACATTTCTACGTTTCATTTGATAGGCCTACAACCTGATGTTCAGTTAAAGCAAGGTTGAAAGAAAATCGCCGACGAATTACTCAAAGACGAATCTGCGCCACCGAGTACGTGCGGTGTTACAGTTGATTCACACGTTCCACGGATATCTATCTTGGAACTAACGTATTAAATCATTCCATACTGGACAGTCCTTCTGCATTTGACCACAGAATGCGACGGATATTTGTATGTGAAATGTGGACTCCAATATACACACTTTTCAGCTCCATCACATCTTTGGATAAATTTCAGAGTAAATTAAAAGGAATGTTACTGTTGCTGGTTTTCCCCACCCCTGTGCCTAGTGCCAGAAAGGGTACACAACAGTCTTATTCAAAATAAGCGAGTGCGTGTTAGTGGAAAAGTTACAACGGCTCCGCGCTATTTAAAGGGCACCTTCTGGCACTAACACAGCATTATGATAGGCGTTTAGTGAACACCCATCTTCTGAGAGGTGCCTGAACGCTAATCACATTTAGTCGTCCTCATGTGGCGTGCATGAACGCTGGCCAGCTTTTGCCAAGTTGATTGAATGACTGACTGGCCTCAATGCTTGCCGGCTTTCCTATTCATGTTTTGGTGAAGTTTTAAAGCCTCAGCAGATTCCGACCCCCCTATGGTTACATTCAGGATTCGGAATTTTCTGATAGATAAAATACTCTCATTCGCAGATTAACTACATCTTGTCGGGGGACTCAACAGAACCCAAACCACCCTTTCGTATACACTGATCACGGATCGCGGTTCGGGCCGAACCCTGCCCAACTGCTCCTGTCTAGATTTGGACTGTTTCTTAAGCCTCGTAATTGTTTGGGTGGTACGGTACAACATCGGAATGAATAATTTATACTTTTACCGATGATATTCTTCAAATATAACGTTTTGTTCGGACACCATAAGATCAGCTACGAAGGATTCATTAGTATTCGAAACAGCAGGAGTGACACTAACAGCTGACGTACGGTATTGACGCCAACTTGTTACGTCTCAACACCCACCAAATCGTCTGTGATAGTATTCTTAAGTTGCTGAAATACAGCGGGTGCAACATTCAGACCAAAGAGAAGAAAATCGTATCGAAATAACCCAACGCGTGTGTTGTTTACGGTATTATTACTAGAGGCTTCCTCCAGTGGTGTTTGAAGATAGCATTCTATTCTTTAATTCGATTTTTGAGAACTCTAGTGATCGCGGTATTGAGTTAGACCTGAAGCAGAGAAATGGAGTCATGGGATAAGCCAGACGTTTCCCGACTACCGCAGAGCAGAGGTATTCGACGAGTGAGAAAATATGTTGAGCGATTGTGCGGGCAATGGATAAGTTGGGTTCATACCTGCCTGGGTAAAGATCTCATGTCCAAACCGATCACAAGCCCGTAGAGTGGATCAAGACGACGAGAGATCCTCGCTGAAAGCTCGAGCGCTGGGCACTGAGGTTCCAAGATTATGACTTCACTTTTTGACACGTGCCACCCGGTTGATTGGTTGTCAAGACCAGAGTCTGGAGAGGAGGACCCATAATCATGAGTGGTGCCAAAAATATCGTCGTTGACGTGGATCCCGGGAGGTGGGGTCTTTTGTTACGGAAGGTTTCGGCTACCTCATTAGGTCGAAGGGAAACAAGTAATTGGAAGCGTTTCAGAGTCACTCCGATCGGGTGGATTGCCGGTGATGACCGGCAGAAAACAATTTATCGTGATAATGACAGAACACCTGTCGTTATAAATGGAGGCAGCAGCCTTGTAAAACTAACCGGCGACGACAATTGGCGGAGTTGTGATGCATCACTTCGTGGCCTACCATAGGATGCCGAAAATGGTCATAATCGATCAGAGGCCTTCATTTGAGAGTGAACAGCTCACCGGAAACCCAGTTGAATCTCTCGTTTGTGATGTTTCCAAGCAGCTGAATGTGCTGCACCAGGCCGCCCCATGTTCCAGTTGCTAAGATATTCGAGATATCGCGAAATATGTATATTTGCAGTGCGCTACTCATAAGGTTGCTGAAAATTCTTCTACGGCCCAGTCCGGTTTCGCCCTTCCTGGAGCTCATCAGGTAAGCGCAGTCCCCGAGTTTCCGTCAAACTTAGGTTCTACTTGGAACCAAATTGCACGAAGTTGCGAATATGCACTCACTTGCAATCTCAGGAGTTGCATGCAGACGTTGGGATCCGGACGGATACGGACGGCAACTTATCACCCTAAACGAGTGATCCGATCAAACGCTCACGGAGTTGCAAGTGACCGAAGGAGGCGACTGGTACCAACGTTTCTGCTAGCTTATCGTGCTTCCATATAGTCAACAAAAGCCAAGTCCCTATTCATGGTGATGTACGGTCGACATCCGGCTCTTCTAGTTGATCAGAAAATTCGTTTGCAGTGGGTATCAACCGTTTACATTTTCCTGACAATCGGTGAATATCCAGAGGCATTGGAGAAGATGCGTTCAAGAATAATATTATTATTAATTTATTTTGAAACAAGGTGCATGGAAGGGTTTTAGTTTCCTCGCCCATTGTCTGCAATTGGTGTTTTCTGATAAGCGTCTACGACGCTGAGTGCTCCCCTGCATTCACTGGTACATACGGGCTATTGCAGATTTTTCGAATACATGTTGCTGGATACTTGCAAGTGGAACGTTGAGCCCTTGGACATCAATGAGCAAGATTTTCACCACATTCGAGCTAGCGAAATCATGTTTAATGTATCACCGGTAAGTAGCTTGGCTCTGGGGGCGTGCGTGTTCGCTATGTTCATTCTGGAAGTCACACTACTCACACATTTGCTGAAAGTCCTTCAAAAGATCACCACCGGATTGGTCATTCTTTGTTATTGGTCCCCGAGTTTCTATCTCCCTTGTTCTCTATGTGAACTGAACTTGGACAGATTTTGAGAACTTCGCACATTTGCGCATGAATTCGGTTTTGACAGGAGACTCAGATGAATCCCGTTGAATTATATGTTTGTGAGGGTCCAATTCAATCGAATGTGGTGCACACGCCTTCTTAGTATTCCAGTTATTGCGACATTTGAGGTACGCAATACGCTGTTGTTTAGGCCTCAAACAATACTGGTAAATTTGCTGAACACAATCCATGACAGGTTTCGCCCTTCCTGGGGCCTCGTCAAAACGGAATTCGCGTGCAAATGAGACTAGTTGTCGATTGTGAAATCGGATTAAACAGTTATACAGTGATTCTCTGATTTTCAGTTTGGATTGGTTTCAATAGCATGTCAGAGGAAGGATAATTTCATTGAATTGCGAAACTTACTCCTCAGAATTCGTCATTAGAGGAGGCGGTCAACACGTGCCCATGCAATGTGGCTTTCCGTTATTCAAGGATGAGCGGCAATATGTCCAATATTGGTGAGCGCTAACCACTTTGGTTATGTCAAATAATAGACCGATTGCGGTAAGATAACCTGGAAATGATCACAGCGAACGGGACTTCGGCGAATACTGCCTGGATAATAGGTCGACGACAATTACTCGCATAACGCGCAGGTCCGGTTGCATCAAGTGCTTACTTTCGATCGCAAGTTCGGTTTTACATGTGTGACTGATGGCTGAACGCTGCTCAAAACCCCAGCATGCGATAAGGAAAATGACTGTCAACCGTTACCACAACATTTTCATTTGAATTCCGTTGCACTCACCAGTTGAACGGCAATGCACTGCGCTAGGAACTGACCAGATACCGCCTCGTTACAAGCGAATTCCTTCGACTCTGGAAATTCGTGGCATCTTGCTAGATGCTAAGTTGAGGCACCCAGCATTTAAATGTCGAAATTTACAGGCGGTTTACACACCCATCATCGAGGCTTCCTATAGTGAGTGACTGAACGAACTGGTTGAGCCCCTTCTGATTTAATGGCCTTCCAAAAATCCATAAACCAAATGTGTCGGTGAGACAGATAGTAGACGGACAAGGTTTCCTACCACGAACTGGTGATCCCCTTCTGATTTAATGGCCTTCCAAAAATCCATAAACCAAATGTGTCGGTGAGACAGATAGTAGACGGACAAGGTTTCCTACCGAATGAACTGGCCAGATTCTTGGGCGGTATTTA